CCCCGGCGACTGGCGAGGGTAAATATCACAAAATTGAATAACAAAATATTTATGCGTCGTGGAAATAAAAAAAAGCTAGAAAATAGAAAAGAAAATAATGGAGAGAATTTAACTATTATTTATTTGGCTGAGCACTGAGCCAGTCGTCTATATAATTTGCCAGCATGTATTTATGATTTATGAAGTGAGTGTGTGTATGCTATATATACTCATAGATACTCTCCAACTTTCTGTGGGGGCTAGGTGCGTGCTGGCCACTACAAATAGTTGTGCGAACAATGGAGAGTGAGAACCCGAATGGATGAATGGCCATTGAGTTTGGTGGCCGAGCACGCGAATCGCTTCAGTTATAGATACCAGGCACAATCACACCCACTCTCCGCGGAACACGCACCCAGCATTAACTATCCGGACAAAAGGAGAGGAACAAATTGGATAATGTCTATAAAAACTAATTGAATTCTAAGCGCTGGGCACGCCACCGGGTCGGGTCGCAGCTGTGAGAAAGTAGTAATGAAAGCCAGCGAACCAATCAAATGGGTAAAAAGTGAGTAACGAAACCAGAAAAAGCAGACGAGAACGCGGAGTGATGACATGCAAGCTGCTGGATAGATGTATATCTACCACTTGGCGGAGAGTGTGTGGGCAGCAGCTAGAGAGAAAAACAATTTCACACACAAATTGTACAAAGAGGAGAATTACTCAAAACACTCCAAGATGTTCGCATGTCATGGCACCTAGGCAGGGACTGTAAAAACAAAAAAAAAAAAACAAAACCTGAAAACAAGAAAAGAACACAAAACCCAGAACAAAAAGCTCATTACTCATATGCCAATCAAAAGGAGGGAAGACTTGGACCTCAGTGGACCCCCAAAACGAGCCACAGATCCGCCAAGGGATGCCATAATTAATCATTCACCGATAATTAACAGCACAGTACGTCCAAATAGAACTAATGTTGGTGGTAATGCCCCGTGTATCTGCTGGATACTGCCCTGCGATCTGCTCGGGGGTTGCCAAAACTGTTGTTTCATTTTTAGCGTCCAACTTTAATGAGTTCGAAATGAAGCTTCCTCGCCGCCTTATTTTTGTGCAGCGTAACCACTTGAAAGTGCGTTGGACAGATGGACATTGACCAGTTATAGATACCCATCCCCATCCCCACCCTCTCCCCGCTGCCTGTCAAGTCCATGAGCACAACCTTCGGCTTGAGTGATGTACTACGAGGGCCACAAAACATCGACATCGCCATCGATGGATGGTCATTAGCAAAAGATGACGACGACTGTGATGTTGATGTTGATGTTGATGGCGCTCCGCTGATGTTGCGTACTCGTAATTCTTCTATAATGGATCTGTTATCTCTGCGCTTAATGGGTTAGCTCTTGGCTGCTCGAGGGGAGGCTTCGAGGGGTCTGTGACTGAGACTGAGTCTTTGACTGACAGACCTGAAGCATGCTTAAAACTTGAAATTAAATAATTAGTCGCTGGTGAAGCTCAGCCCGCTCAGCTCGCTCAGCTCGCTCAGCTCTCTTTTTATTTTGTATTTTTCGTATTTAGATGGGGCCAGTGTAATGACCTTTTAAGTACTTTCGAGATACTAATCGCCTCTCGGTCCTGCTTTTTGTTGGCCGCTTTAGCTGCTCTAAACAGCTAATGGCTTGTTGCGGCTTGTTTGTTGTAGTTCAGCGAGTGCAACAAAGTCGCCAGCCACTTTGGATGGCACTAATTAACGAGAGAGCACAAGCTTTTGGCTTTGGGGGCCGCTTCACAAAACTTTTCTCAGATGCGTATTAATTAAAATTTTGATAAGACTCCCGCTTCTCGGCTCCTCGGGCGCTTGTAATAAAAGTTGAAAATAAATTACACAAAATTTGTATTTGTATCTTTAGGTGTGGCATCATCATCATCTTCGTCGTCGTCGTCGTCGTCGGCGGCGGCAAAGGGCTTATCGCCAAAAGTATCTACAAAATAATGGGCGACTAATAGGCCGAGACCCCATCCAACTTCTCGGTCTCCGTTGCCGTCTCTGTCCCGTTCCCAGCTCCACTTCTTGGCTTGTTGATTATGTCAGCTTTTAAAGCGGCTTCGCCCCGACTTCTCCCATTTCTGCGGGTGAAAGTGTGCAAAGTTACAGCTCCCGGAATGGACTTATAGAGTTACACTTGTTGTCGTCGTCTCTCGTTGCGGCGCTGTGGGAATGTCAACTTCAGATGCTGGTCAGCTGCTCAGCTGGCCAATAAATGATGATAGTTCTCGGGGCGAAATCCGAGCTGCTGCTGGGAAAACCCCGCTGGAGGCGAGGCGCCGAGAGAACTCTGAGAAACTTATCAAATATTTGTCCCACTTGAGTGATATCTCCCCAAGCAGCAGCGTGTGGGCGGCTGGAATGTTTCGAATGCGTATTTATCTGTGAGATACATCTCACATTTCGTTGGTATTTGTTGCGTTTGCTTACAGTTAGGAAACATCTCGCCGATGGTAAGGTGGAGCTGCATTCCGAAAGTGTTTTCTCTGGCACGCATTTAATTGAGATGTCTTAAGACATTGTTTTGTATTTCATTGAATTCTGTGGCTGTTCTCACAGAATAATTGGCCAGGAAAACCCCAAGTCAGCTGAGATAAGACTCGTAATCGTGGCAGGAACTTATAAACTGTGCCAGCCAAAAGGCCAGCGATTCCAAGTATGCCATCGCACATGGCACTTGCCCAAAAAGCGAGCTCGCCAAGCAGCCCAAATTGAATGCGAAAATTCCCACACATTGTTCAATCTAATGAGAACTATGTCAATGTCTGCTCCATCGCTTATCCCCCATCCCTGCTCCCTGCTCCCCGTCGGGCCATACTTAAGCTTATGCTTATATATTCGCCCTTGGGCTGACACTTAAGATAAAAACTCTTGACGGAGGGAGAAATACACTCTCGTCGTGGGTCTCAGGTCTCGGTTCTTGGTTTCTCAGTTCGCCTGTAGGCTTTAGGCTTCTTCATCCGCTCCTCTGCTTAAAGTCAATTGAACAAATTTCTATGAGCAAATATTTTATGGTCAGTGCTCGTCTCTTTCGCTCCCTCGGTGTGTGTTGAATTTTAAATGAAAATTCCATAAATGCCAGCCGCATAAAAATGTGCCAGACCATATTTCATCCCCAGCCGAGTCAGATAGCTCTCTGACAATTTAATAGTATTCCAAAAATTAGCCAATTAGTGGGCCTCAACTTTCCATAAATATATACACTTATATATTAATGGCGTAATGTATTTTCATTAGCAGAGTGCGGGGCACTGGGCACTTGTAATTAAGAACTTAAAAGCGATAAGCTTTTATGTAGGCAGGCACTCAGCCCCCGAAAAGCCTCTTTGCCCCACGGCGAGTCCTTTGACTTTGTAGCGTCCGAGACGCTTACACCTGTGGCACTTAATTATTATATTAAATCGGCATATCTGTTTCGGCTCTAATTAACCTTTGAACCTCTTCACAAATCAGCGCCCTCACAAAAAGTCAAAGCGAATCACACCCCGGGAAAACCCCCCGGTGGGGTGGCAATGGTGGCGAGGTGACAGTCACGAGTCCCATTATACGATATTGTATGTACAATTTGAAGCAACTCGCAATTACCAACGACACGTCAAGATGTGAAATTAACACCGTCACACAAGCAGGCAGACAGACAAGGGGAGACCAGGGGACCTGGGCCAGTGGGCGGCAGACAGACATATTAATGTTTCTGGCTGGTATTTAACATTCAACAACAATAACAATCACTATATGTGTGTGTGTGGTGTGTGTGGGTGACATTTTCTCGTTGGCGCTGCCTCGAAAATCATTAAATCACACAGCAACAACACAGGGAAAAAAGCTTTCCCTGTTTGTGTCAGCCATACAATTGGCCACCCATCCCCCCCACGCATATCCTGTCAGGACAACAGGGGAGGTGGGGAGGAAAAGAAAGCACACAAAAAAGAAAAATAAAGAAAAAGGCGAAGAGCTACGCAACCACAGCACGCAATACTCGCATTTCATTAGACACTTTGCAGCGACGACTCCTATTACTCTTCCTGAAAAGCCATCATAGCCAGGGGCACCACTTCCTTTCTTTTTTCTTTCTGGCCAAATGACGTCGTTTCTGACGACGACGTTTTTCCCAAAAAATTAGCGTTACATTGGGACCAAAAGCGACTGGCGATGGCTGACCCCGTTGAGCTGTCACACGAATTGAAATGGAATTCGATGGCCAAAGTGAAGTTCAAACAAGGTGACCCCATCACTGGTTGGGTTGGTAATTATGGATTTCCCCTGGCAAGTGCTGACCCCGATTCCAAAAACAAAGTGACATAATTCGGCAGTAAACATCTGCTGGCCGCGATGATAACTGGCCAGATTAAGTGATATAATCAAGTGGCCAGCGGCAGAGAACCAACTATTCCATTAGCTAACCGAAACCGAGAGCGAAAACTCGGCGGATGTGGAAATAAAAACTTTTTTGTGCCCAAGCTCCGGCAAATGAGTTTGTCATTATTCAAGCGCTGTGCAAATACATACACATACATTTCGCGCACCTTTTTTGTGTGCAACTTTGTTTTTGCCACAAATTAATTACAATCCTCCGAGTTGAGTGGCCAAATGTTGCTCTTTTTCTTGTCCCTGTTCCCGTGTATTTTTCATACAACATATTTATCAACGCGTCGCAAAATGTTTGTCCTGGGAGGGGAGGACTTTGCGAGAATAAATTGGATGATATTAGGGCGACAACTTTTCATTTAGTTGGCCGGTCGGCGCTGCCCTTAATTTCCGGCCACACGCATCGTATCGGAAGATAGGGATCGGGATCGGAGGGGCGGGAAAATGAAAACGTTAGACGGGAATGAAAAATCGTTAGGCGCGCACCGAGAGAGCCGGAGTGTTTTACGGGTCCCGATGGCCCAACCCCCCCAACCGCCTTAATATATTTCCTTTTCTCTTGCACCAGAAGCTAGCTGGGGTTTTTATTTTGCGCTTCACTTACCTGAAAATAGGTTTGACCCTTGTCCACCCAGCCGATGGCCATATCGGCACCAGCGAGATTGCCATCGGGCGAGAAGCCGAAGCCGACGTAGCCCAGGGTACGTGCCTGTATTTCAAATGTTATATCCTGATTAATGATTTGCCATAGTATGCGAAAATCCTCATTCAAATCGATGGCATGATCCCAAATGGGTGTTCCCGTCGCCGCTCCTGCTGCGGAGGCAGCTACTCCCGTTGCTGCTCCAGCTCCTGGCAAGGCTCCTCCTGTTGTTGCCGTGCCTGCCCCTGCTCCGTTTGCCGCTCCCGGGGATGTTGTTTTGTTGCTGCGAGTGGTCAACTTGCCGGCAGCATGGACTCCGCAGCCCAGGCTGGCGAGAAGGAGGAGCAGCCAGAACAAGCTGAACGTGTGGCAGGATATAAAACATGTGATTAACGATGACCGCCTTGAACTTGAGAGCGCCGGTCCTCGTCGTCTGCTTCTCTGTACTTTGCTGGGTGTTGCTTCCTCAGTGGATACTGCTGCCTCCTCCTCGCTTGTAACTGCTTTTCTTGTTGGCTGCCACATTGTGTTGGCCATTTTGTGCGCCGGTTAGCTGGCTGCTTGGGTTTAGCAAATAGTTGTGATTACTTTTCTTGTTGCCACGTTGACATTTATTACTCTCAAAATCACTGGACGTGGAACGGTCGCAATTACGCAACTGTTTTGGCCTTTCTTGCGCTCGTCTTTCTCCTCTTTGGTGTTATCACAGTTACGATTATTTATTTAAGCAATTTTACTCAACTTTCGCTGCTGCTGTAGCTACTGCTGCTTCCTGTTTCCGATTAACCAATGGCCGCTCATTAGCTTCGCTTGTCGCACGAACAAAAGCTCCAGAGCTGATCTGGCGGATGCAACCTGCAAGAAAAGAGGCAGAAAAAAAAAATGTTATATAATTGCTATAATTTGTTGTCGGCTATAATATGTAGTGGCGAGAACTCGAAGTAGCCCGATGTAGCCTTCTTTCGTGTTGCAATGTTTAAACGCATATAATTACATAAATTATGAACCGGTATCTATGAGATACACACCGCCAGCCACAGCCAGCAATCCATCTGCCATCCATCCAGCCATCCGCACACACATCACAACAAAGTTGACGGTTCATTTTTTGTTCTTGCTTGTTGTTGCTTCTAGGGAGTTCGTCAACATTTTCCTTGAAGCGTTAATTAGCCTGGTCACGCAGTTTTCACAGCAATGTACGTCGGAAGACGAAATTGCCCCGAGAGAGCGGGAAATTAAAGTCTACTTTGGCAGGAAGATGGGAAATGCCTCGTAATAATCTAGCATTTTTCAGTGGAAACTCAAGGATATAAAGCTTCCGCAGAAATCACTTTCCCTTCCCTAGTCAGTGGATACCTCCTTATTTACGGTATTTGAATGACTAATTCCGGGTTTCCCGTCTCTGATATCAAGGGTCTACCACTGACTACTGCCCCTCGCACGCAATTAGTGCGTTGTGGCCTGGTCAAAGCAAATCGAAGATAATTACAGCTTGTCATAATTTTAATGAAGAAGGTCGTCCAGAGCTGAACCCGAGTCAAGTCGTTGTCGTCATTGTCTGCTGTCTGTCCATCCGTCTGGGAGAGAGCCAAGTGGAGGCGAAGCCAGACCAATGGGATTTATTGTATTAAATCGTCGCGGCTTAGCCAGGCCAACCACAAGCGAAGAGGACTATTCCTGGGCCTCCTCCAGCCATGGGCCCCCGTTTCTGGTTGCCATCGCAGCTGTCTGCGCATATTTGGTGTGCGGTTACATTTGATTACATGCCAAAAGTACTGCTCCCAGACCCAGCAGATCTTTAATTTGACGTCGGCGTCGGCGTTTTGGGTAAATGTCAAATGGTTGGTAATTTGTTATAAATAGCCAACTTCCGCTGGGCCCCTAAAACGCGACGCAACACGACGCAACTCATAGATACATACAATGTATTTGCGCTAATTCCAAGTGCTTAGTCGCGTGTTTCGAAGTTGACAAAGGTCAACAAACGCCGAGCAAACACCAAGAAGAAAATTGAAAAGCCCGAAAAATGAATTAAGGCAAGAGTGTTTGTGTGTGTTTTCCTATTTCTTTCTCTTCGAGGTCGAAGCTGGAATGCCCTCAAATTGAATATCTCAGCAAGATGATGTGATGGGGCCCATAACAATCTCGACCAATAAAAGTAATTTCCGGAAGTTCCTGCCATTCCGGGAGGGGAATGGAAATGGTAATGGAATGATTGGACAAATGTATCGCGAAGATACTTCTGGTTCTCTGGTTAGTATCTAGCTAGATTTCTATGGCATATTTATAGGTGACTTTTACGTTTCACTTCCTTCCTAACGACAAAGTTATTGTGGTTGCCCGACGCCGTGCCTTGCTGTTATCAAAAATGTATCCGCAAGATACACAACAATAAGCTTGATGGCGAAATGTAGCTTTACATTGATGTTGTTGTTGCTGGCGCTGAGTGACGGCCGGCAACGTTAAATGACGTTGATTATAATTATGCGGACTTGTACTTTGTTCAACGCAGGCAACAGGGCTACAGGGCTTCTTCTTCTGCTCCTCCTCCTGTCCCTTGCTGCTGTTTGTTATTATTATTGCTGTCGTCATCATCATCAGCATGGTCATCAGCCACTTCCTCATGATCATCATGGTCAGCCTGGTGCTCCACGGCTTCGACTGCCGTTGATGGGGCGGCCAGATGAATGATGTCTCTTAAATACAGACCCTGCTCGAGTCCGAGGCAAGGCGAGGCCAATCGTCCTCATCATCATCGTGATGGCTGCTGCTGCCGTAAAATTCAAGCCAATTTAGCCTGGAGGAAGGCAGGTCCGGCAGGTTCCTCCTTGCACAGCATGTTGCCCAAGACCCGAGCAAAGACCCCAGTCTGGAGACATTCATAAGTACAAGTGCTGCTGCTCTTCCTCGCAGCGATGCCCGCGTGACTCCTTCGATCACTTTTGGCCCCGAGATGTGTCATCTCCAGGCGGAGGACAGTGGACACTGGACAGAGACACATTCATAAGTACAAGTGCTTCGTCTAATATTATTACTTGGCGAATTAACTACGCCGGGAGAGAGATAGGAAAACAAACACAAACTCGCAGATTGCTCTGCCAACTGGTTCTAAAAGGCACGAAATGGCTTCCGTAGACACATTAGTCGCTTTTACACAAAAACCCAGACAAAACGGACAGAGCCCAGTTGCCTCCCCGCCTGATGGGTGAGCAAAAAAGATGCAACTGAATGAGGCATATAAAAGCCTTCCCAAGCGCCGCCGCGGCACAAAAAAAGCAGGGAGAAAGAAAGAAAAAAAAAAACAGAGAAAAATAACCAACAGAAGCGGAAAGAAAGAAAGAAAAGAGGAGCGAAAGAAAAGCAAGAAAAAATGAATACAAGTCAAAGACTTTGTCCAATGGTTTTCATCATTGCACGATTTGTAGATGGAGCGGGCAGCAGTAGTTCCAGGAGGAGGACCCCAAGGGGGGCCAGGAGGTAGCCCCAGATCTGGTCTGCTTCTGCGGCTGCTTCTGCTTCTGTTCGGCCGACGGACAACGACATTGATGAGGATGTTTTGCCGGGGCAACACAGTGGGACAAGCCTACGCGAGAGCTCCAGAAGCTGGCGGGAAAAAGTAGTGACTTCTAAGTCAGAGTAGAGCTTGAAAAATGTATCTGAAGATACTTGAAAGTATCTATTAAAAGGATAACTTGCCTAGAACCTAATTATATACTTAGATTTATTTATCCTTCTACAAATTCCCTTCTTGTATCTCTTTAAATTTAAAAGGTGCTCCCATTCTCAGGCATACCATAATCTAGTTTACTCAATTCCAAACCCAAATACCTTTAAAACTAAAACACTAATTAACAACAGACAAAACTGCTGAGTTCTGGAAGCTAACCAGAATATAAATGATGCTGTGTGTAACCCTCCTGAGGGAAATTCGATCCCAAAACAAATTGTTTTCCTGCTGCCGTCACTCTGCGGTATTCCTTTCCCTTAATTGATTCCCATTCTAATTGCGATATTTAGCCAACTCATTGACCTAATCACAGAACAGAACAGAACTGAATCGAACAGAGCAGGGCATTCCGCTTCACACATCATTAATAACGATGGGTTCTGATTTGTGCGAAATACTCGCAGTGGTGGTGCCTTTCACCTACCATTTAATCGAATGCTTTCACATTTTAATATCTCTCTCTCGCCAAAAGGAATTCGCTGTGAAGCGTAATTAGTGAACTTTTGGTTTTCTTTTTTTTTTTATATACTTTCTAATCCCATCCCAGTGTGCAGTTTGTGGCAATTTCTTTTCAAAGGGTACAAGGGGTACAAACGAGGGGATTTGCAAGCCGTGTATGTTTTCATTTAGCAGATACAAGCTGCAAGTACACACACGAGATGCTACCGGGCCTTCGTCATCATCGAAGATGCTTCATCATGTGGCAGAAGCAGCAGCAGCAGCAACAACGACGACGACGGCAGCAACAGCGATTCCGGAGTTCTGCGGTTGCCGCAGCTTGATTATAAATGTACGAGGCAACTTGTATGACATGTAAGTTGTTGTACTTGCAGCCTTGCATCTGTGAGAACGTGTATCTGTGCCGTGTCCACGGCCGCATGCATGTGTGGTTGTCACTGCACCTGTCATCCTTGCAGCCTGCCAGCAAAAATTGCCGGTGCGGTGCAGCAGCAGCAGCAGCGCAAAAAAAAAAAAAAACACAAAATTATTATTTATCATCGGCGGGGCAAGGTCCCCGAGAGAAGTCAAACAGGGAATTATGCGGGTATGTATACACGGATAAAAATTACATATTTGCTAATTTAAGTCAAATTGGACAATTATTAGGCCTAAAAAATGCTTAATTATATAATATATAGTGATAAAAAGTTAAATAATCCTTTGAAGTTCTTTTAGGAGCTTCTGTTTTCCCTGAAATTAATATTCCCTTTCATATTTCTAACCAAGATTTCATATTATTTTGGTTCCGTGTAGCAGATATATATAGAAATGCGCCGGGGCTCCACTAATTACTGCACATCATTTGCTTACTCGAGTGCCTCTACTGCCATCGTCGTCGTAGTCGCCGTCGTCTCCAGGCCCATCAGCCCAACTTCCCCAGCTCTCCGCCGCCTTGCAGATTTAATTGAGTAAAAAAATTGACTAATTAGAGTGAGTCCAAGGCACTTGGCCCCCGGCAAGCAGCGAGAAAAAAACAGGTCTCCAGTTGAGTGGGGGGTTTGGGTACAGAGCCAGAGACAGAGACAGAGGGAGGGGCTACCTGTTCTCATTTATTAAGGCCTGGTCAAGAGCGGTTTGAATCAAAACTGCGCCTCCCAAACCCAAGGCTCCTGTCGTCCATCGTGTGTCGTCTTCGTATTTAATGATCATTAAACAAGCTGGCAGCCAATTGCACTAAAAGCTGCAGGCTACTGGCACACGGACAGTGGGGCAAATATAATAAAATGTAATAAATATTTAATAAAATTAGAAATATAATTTACTACAAAGATATCATAGAAACTGAAGGTATTAAATAACTCACAAACTCAAAGTTTGTCAGTTATAGAAGCAGAATTGAATGTATTTCATTATTTTATAGAGAATACTTAATCTCTTGTTTTCGTATTTCATATTCATATCGTAATAAATATATTATAAAATTATAAATATAATTAACTTTGATATAAAATATCCAAGAAAAACTCACAAAAGAACTTGACAGGAAAAGAAGCAGGCTTGAATACAAATTATTATTTTGAAGGACACTTAAACGCTGGTTTCAGTTACTATATTTAAGCTTTCAAATATTAAACTTTAAACTATAAATTATTATGGAAATAATATACCTAATCATATATATTTAATA